CCCTACATTTGAACCCTAAAGTTCAAAGTGGGGATCCAGCCTTGACACAAATTTACAGCAAAGCCTCCTGAATGAGATGTATCAAACTAACACCCTCTTGTCCTTCCTTTCCACTCCAGAAATAGCATTTTAATAAACTAATATAAATTTAATATTTACAACTATTACTGTAAAATCCAACATGATCTTATGGATTGAGCACAGAACTGGAAACCGGGAACTGCTTCAGGGTTTGAATAGTAGCTCTGTTGTTGACTCTCTAGGTAACCTACTGCAAGCCACTTAACACTCTGTATATGTGTTCCCCTATCTGTAAAATGGGGATAATATCTACCTTACAAGGCTGTTGAAGACGATTACATGGCCTAGTGGATAAACCACTGTATTGGGACTCAGGAGACCTGGGTTCTATTATTTGCTCTGCTCCTGGAATGCTGGACAACCTTGGCCAAGTCACTTTGTCTCAGTTTCTCCATCTGCAAAATGGAGATGATACTCCCTTCCTTTGAAAAGCGCATTGAGATTTACACATGAAAAGCACTGTACAAGAGTTAAATAATGCCTAACAATTTTAAATATTATAAAAGCACTAATTTTTCACTAGATTAACAAATATACTTTTGTTTATTATGACCAACTTAACCATTTCCTTTGTTTAAATTAAGATGTGTTTACATAAAAGCATCTAAGGTATATTATGGAGGATAACTTGAGATGGTGTCTAACATTGTAGGAGAGAGAGAGACAGTATTTGCTTTTCATGAAAACATAGTAGGCACAGTTTAACTTGGTCAAACTAGATTGTGAGCAGACTATTTTTTGTTTTGTTACACAAGATTTGCCCAACAATTGACTTCTACTTCATGTTTTAGGATTTTTTTACGAGTACAATTAATCCATATTTCTAAATATGGATGAAACCAACTAACCATCAGAGTCATGACAGCTTGGGGTGTGATTTTATGAGATGTTTGTTCTGGTCAGTATTTGAATATGAAAGCTACAAGGAAAATGCAAAATGCTACACAAGAAATTGGACAGAATTTTATACAAGGTGCATTTTCTTCCCTCAAATTCAATTGAACTAATAGTCCAGCATGATCTTAGGGGGTGTAATGCTGCCTTTCAGATGAAACATAATTTACTTGTGTATAAGGACTTTCATCCTGCTAGAGCTCAGGGTACGTCAGAGGCCTAAACCAACCGAGTCTTTAAAGATTTCATGGCAGCTTCAGCAAAATTAAGAATGTGATCTTGTGTCATGATGAAATCCCAATTTAGCTATTTAACTAAATATTTCCTGCAAGTTTCAGTTAAGTAGTATTTACTTATACAGCACTTTTCATCTGTAGGTCTCAGAACACTTTATGAAAGTATCATTACCACCATTTGATAGATAGGAAAACTGGCACAGACAGGTAAAATGACTTGTCCCAGGTCACAAGGCATGTTGTTAGCAGAGCCAAGAACAGATTCCAGATCTCCTGAATCCCAGTCCAGTGCTTATTCACTAAATAAAGATGCCATTCTAGCTTGCATTTAATTGGATTATTCATTTAGGTATCCTAAAATGATGAACAGTGTTAGTGTTGACAGGTAATGGGCTACATTCCATTCTCACAGGTGGGTGAATTGATAAAGAGGCTTTAAAACATCTTGAGGCCTGGATAGTCTCTGGGTAAAAGGCTAAATGTAAGCAATTTTCATGTGAAGTATTATTCAACTGATACAATCATTTCCACCGTAATGTTTCTAGTAGTCCTACTACAGCAATTTTCAAAAATTCAATTTTTGGGCATAGTCTTGTTGATGTGAATACCATTCCAACATGCATCATTGTCATTCAAGAAAATTGATTATTTTGTTGGTAGGTGAAGAAGTACTAAATGTAAACAGTGATTCGTCTCTGGTGCAACAGTGCTATGGGAGGATCTTATTGAACAAAGGATTTCAACAAGCACTGAAGACAGTGCTATCTTTTGTAAGTCAAACTGGAGTGCCTAAAATTAAACTTACTTCTATCCAAAGATTTTGTTACCAGAGTACAGCCCAACTGCAAAGATGCAGCAAAATGCTTCCATTTAACCATGTGGTCAAAATCCAGCTGTCCTCTCAAACAAAATTATGCTACATGGCAGGAATTTAAATCTACGAAATGAGAGCTTCAGTCTTCCTGCCAGTAGGAATGATTCTTTACAAAAGATGAAAACTCTATTGGAAGTTTAATAATGTTGCTTTAAAACTAAGCCCAATGAACTCCATCAACATAAAGGAAATGCCTGTAAAGACCTGAAGGCCTCTGGGAAGCAATAAGATTCTAAGAAAGTGCAGGCTAAATTTGTGTGTGGCATTCAGGGTAGAGTAAGCACTTGGATTCCACAAGTATGTCACCTCACCACATTAATTTGAGTGATAAGCCATTAGATTTTGGGGAACTGTATGGATTCAGCCAAGATTTACCTACAAGGTTAATATGGGCATAACTGAGTTATTAGGGCCAGGTTATTCCTAATAAAAAATAAAGTGAAATACTCTGATTTTCTTTGGCTAACTGAGCCAAACACTCATGTTTATTTTGATCCAGTTCTATGTGCAATCAGATAATATACATTACCTAAATATTTAGCTAACATTTTAAGGACAGTATCATTTCCTGTTGCTGGTTTGAGAATATGAGCTTTGAAAGATGTGTGTTCTCTAAAAAGACACATCTTGCTGTCATCAAGGCAGCATTTAAAATAACTGCATCTTAACTTTAGAGGAGATACAACTGACTATAGTATCACCCTTCAAGTCTACAGCTCAGAGCACATAAAACTAGTTGCATTCAAGGCTACATTGTTATTCTTATCAAAAAATGCAAACAATTTTAATTAGCTTATCTAGTGGACCATATTGTCAGATATGTTAATGTAAAAACGGTGCCAACAATACATGCCAAACCATTAATCAAAAATGCTTACAACTGCGACAAAGAACACAGCCACCATCCTCAAACCATATAGTCAAAAATGTAATGCAATTGCCTCCCAACTGAAAAGAAGGGCTGTGTTCCCTGCAACACACCAGAATCAAAGAAAAGGCACGGGATACGCAGTGTCTTCGAGAAACGGCTGCAGTCCACCGTGCCGCTAATAAACCCTCGGTTTCGAGGAGGAAATTTTAGTAAATGCGTGACACCGTGACCTCTGCTGTCAAGCCTTCCACCAATCAGGGAGCAGAATTCTTACAAAGCTCCATCAATCTGGCGCTTTAACATCATCATCACAGACTGCAGTTTAATCTAGAGGATTCCATTTTTCCTGCACACACCAGGGCAGGCACAAGCCGTTTTTACTCCATCCCTTCGCCTTGGCTTTCACGCCCAGATGCCCAGCGACCCCGGCACAGCCAGAAATTCGGCGCTGCAGCCCTGTTCCCTTTGGGCGACCCCACAGATCTCTCTCGTTTGCGTTTTTTATCAATACGCAAGGAAGGAGGGGTCTGTGGGGCGGGGGGGAGAGCCCCTACAGGCAGCAAGTCTACTCACAAAATGTTTTCCAGCTGGACAATACAAACGCTATTTCCAAGAGCCAGGCTTCCATGCAGGCGAGGCAGGACCCCGGCTAATAGGTCCTAGCTTATTTTTAACACGCCGCTGAGAGCACGGTGTTTTGTTATGTAATCCCCCTGCCTGTCCCTTTGCTGCAATGCCCGCAGCAGCCCCCATCCCAGGCACACGCACACGCAGCAGGGCGATCCCCGCAAGCCAGCGCGGGTTACCTGTAGGAACGCTCCCCGCGCACCGTGTGCTTCCTGAAGGGGATGATGGTGCCGTTATCCTGCAGGATGTCGTTGTTGTTCTCGCCATTTGGGGACAGCGTTTGGGTAGGTCCCGGCATTGGCGCGCGCTCCCACCCCCACACGGCTGGCTGCCTGGCTCGCTCGCTCGCTCGCGCGCGGAAGGTCGGCGGAGGGGCTGCGCCGGGGCTGCTCTGCTGCTTTGCTACAGCGGCTCGCTCTCCCCTTGCCTGCCTGCCTCCCTGCTGACGTCAAACCGCCTGGAGCAGCACCCTGGCCACGTGACACGGCCCCTTCACCATAGCAACCAGCTAACTCATCAGATCTGCTCGGTTCGCACAAGGGCTCCGGCGTGGCCGCGCCAGTGCAGCCGAAGAGGCGCAAGGGAGGCGGGGACGGGGGCGGCCTACATCTGGCTTGCAGCGCGCCAGCCCGCCCGCCCGCCCCTGACAACAGCCTCGCCGCCTCCAAAGCCAGCCCTTCCTCTAACCATTTCCTTTCGGTCCCCTGCGCGGAGTGCAGCTGTGTACACAAAGAGCCCGGCCCGGGCGGGGGGCGGCCCTGGAACCTCCTCAGGGCCGGCGCGTCCCCACCCACCGGGTTCTTTCATTTCAGCTCCAGCCAGAGAACCGGCCCAGGAGCAGGCGGGCTGCAAGCGGGGCCGACCCCACGGGTTGCAGAGTCACCGTGAGGCAGAAGCAAGCCCGAGCTGTAGGCAGCTGTGGGGTTTTACATATTAAATGGCCCTTTTACAATTGGGCTGCTGCACACACGGCAGGGAGCCGCCGTGAGTTGGGAGAGGAAGGGGACGAGCTGGGATGACCCACACTCTTTTCCACGGTAGCTTTAACTTTGCCCCCTAGAAAAGCCAAATTCTTTTCTGATGATTGGTGGAGAAGGCTGGCATGGCAAAAAGCCATTTTCACGACGCAGAGCGCTCGGGAGATGCAACACGTCTTTTGAGCCTGCTTCATGTGACTAGGGAAGTCACCAGTGTTTTGACCTACATTTATGAGGGAACAAAACAAGCGTTTTTGAAAGATTCCAGAATCCACCGTCATCTCTCCCCAGTAATGCGCAGTTATTTTTGGTCTCAAGCTTCCGGAATTAGCATGGAAGCCTGACAATAGTCGCATACAATGCCCAGCTGGTAGTGATAAAATCCAAACGTGAAAAGAGAGCGCGCACACGCTCACACATCCACCTTATTTCCCCCCCAGTATTTTTCTTTTTTAATTTGCATGCAATATTTGATCTGCGGTAACGCAAATATTTCCTCTTACTTCTCCCCATTTAAAATGGTGCAGCGTTTGAGGGTTTTTTTTTTTTTAATAGAAAGTAGATCGGACCCTTATTGGAAAGGGGCTGCATTTTAATGTACATTATTATGTAACTGCATATCAGAATTGAGCCCCAGCCTATAAAGTATTATAAAGGTCTAAGTTTAATGCCTTCCCCGTACCCAGACCTGTAGTTGCTTTCCTTCTCTCTGCTACTCAGTCTGGATTCCTTGTAGCCCACGAAAGCTTATGTTCTAATAAATTTGTTAGTCTCTAAGGTGCCACAAGTACTCCTGTTCTTTTTGCGGATACAGACTAACACGGCTGCTACTCTGAAACCCCTTAAACCTATAATCCACTATTTTGTGTCCTGTAGCTTTGTCTGAGACCATGCTTAAATGAACATTTTAAGCTTAATTTTTAAGTTTCCAAATTTCTCCTAATTTTAGAGTATGTACTAAAACCATGTGATAGCTTCCCTTTTTAAAAAATCTTGTTGGGGGAGAGTAAAAAGGGGGAAATGGTGCTAATATATGGTGAGAGACTACTGAATAACTAGCATTGCTAATAGAATTAGCAGTTATGCGAATAGCCATGTTAAGTACCTCTTCCTTCCCTTCCACCCCACAGTTTAAACAGTTACCTATCCCCCAGGCTCTTTTGCCCCTTAAGCCACTCTGCATATCCACAGCTAGTTAAAACTTCCCTGCATATTTTCACATTTCTAAGGTAGCAAGGAAAATTATCTTTGACTTTAAATAATATGTATTTTAACAAGTAATATTCATTTCTATACAAGTGGATTAAAAGCTTAATTGGGCACCCACCGTTATGAGAGGTTGAACCACGATGGTTCACAGATATGTTAAACAAAATCAAACCATTTAAATGAGTTTCTCTGGCTCTTCTCTAAAACCCACATAAGCAAAAGTGTGCATTGAACTGTGTGGGAGGACAGTCTCTTTTAATTAGGTGTATTGAAACTCAAGGCTGGGAGTTGGAAAAAAGTAATGAGTAATTGCGCAGATACCTCATGATATTTTTGGCTTCAAAATTAAACAAAAACACTTATTTACCCTTTTAAAATCAAGTGTTTGATCAAGTGGAAATCATGAGATAAATTTATAAGTGATTAGATCTCAGTGACAGAAGATTTAATAAAAACCTCACAGCTTTCTCAGCTATCATAAAGACAGACTCTGACCAGATTTATATTTTCTGACAGGGTTAGCAATTTCCCCTTCCCTCTCAAAGTAAAATTCATGCACTGATTAAAATATAGTCAATTTGTGACCTTTCAGATGGATTTGATGCTTAGGAAAAAAATTACCTTAGTTTATAGAGTTGCACCTATTGTATAAAGTGATTAAAAAAAAAAATCCAGAGAAGTTCAAGTATTACTAATTTGGCAGGAGCTCAACCACTGAACAAAACAACCTACTATGCTGCAGTGAAGCCTACTCAAGTCATGGTGGTGAATTTTGTAATGTAGATATCTATCTCTGAGGAACTCAACTGAGACCACGGATCCCTGGCAGGCCACTGAACCGACAGATGGGAACTTTCACTACTGATTCACACTGGATTTGAACTGGAAACAAAGGTGGAAGACTTTTCAATTACCAGTCCAAGGATATACCCAGTTACCTTATGTCCCCACACTTGATTGAAAAATATCCCCATTGTTAAATTGGTAATGGACTTGAAATAACATGGGAAAGACAACAGATTCATAGTTAGCATTGTAACATTTTTCTGGGCCTTTTTTTAAAACAAATAAATGCTGCTAAACAGCTCACAGGTTCCTTAGAAGTACATGAGATAATGCAGATGCAAAAGCTGCTATATAGTGATAGACAATATAAAAATAATCTGTAGCAGGTCTTTGGCTGCCAGACATTCCTATCTGATCCGTCAAACCAGAAAGCAGTAAAACATTCAGCCACCTCTAACTTGTAAAAGCATTTTTATTTCTTCACCAACAGCAAAGAACAGAGGCTGCTTTATTGAGGTCACCAAAATAGCTTAAAACATGCACTGACAAAGCTACAGCACAGCGAAGAGCAGATGAAGACAACATTACAGCATTATTTCTATCTCTTAAGTGTGTTCACATTAGGATTCTAGTTCAATTCAATTGGCTAGAGAGATCTAGTTTCCCTTTGCAGGCTGTGCCAGGTCTACAGTTTTTCATTTGTTTACAGAACAGTGTTTCTACATCTTATCTAATGCAATCGGGGAAATATGGGGGGAGTGATTTGGGTCCTATATGCATGACAGTCCTTCAGCCTAGCTGGCTGAGTCTCCATTTGGAAACACTGCATGTGCTACAAATATAACTCATTTTGTAGGTACAGCAAGCAAACCACTACAAGTACAGTAAATCATCCTGTAGGTTTCCTCCTCCCACATTCATAGTTCTCTGCAAAGAATTCCCTAGATCTAGACCCAATGACAGGGAACAAAGCCAGTAAGCCATAGGAGTTATGAAATGGCTGCACCATTCCTTGCTGATTTTATAGCTTTCACATTCAGTAAATACACAAACAGAAATGCAGCTTTAAGAATGTAGGTCAAGTAAAAAATCCTACATTTCTATCATCACCAACACAGATGCTGGAACTAGGGGTGCTGCTGCACCCGTTGGCTTGAAGTGGATTCCATTATATACAGTGTTTACAGTTTGGTTCAATAGCTCTCAGCACCCCTGATCACCAATGAAGATCCAAACACACTTTTTAATTAAAATGAAACACTGGTGCTATTACCACTAATTAAGCAAAGCAAAAAGAACCTGGAAAGCCTGATTAATGCTCAAGCTTTTCCTTCTGCCACCATCCCTATGTATCCCTATGCATCCAGGTGCGGCTCTATGTGTTTTGCCACCCCAAGCACGGCAGTCAGGCGGCTTTCAGCGGTGCGCCTGTGGGCGGTCCGCTGGTCATGCCGATTCGGCGGCATGCCTGTGGGAGGTCCGCTGGTGCCGCGCCTTCGGTGTCCCCGCCGCTGAATTGCTGCCGAATCTGCAGGACCGGCGGACCTCCCGCAGGCATGCCACCGAAGGCAGCCTGACTGCCGCCCTCGCAGCGACTGGCAGGCTGCCACCCGCGGCTTGCCGCCCCAGGCACGCGCTTGCTGCGCTGGTGCCTGGAGCTGCCCCTGACTGCATCCGTGGAGATTCCACTCCATGTCCCTCTTAACTCCAGCCACCAGGGACTACATTACTTCCGAGTAGAGATTGGGATGCAAGTCCAATCATACTACATTTTAACCAGCCAGCAAGTCACTAAAGCCAATACAAGTCTCTTATCAGCATTCTACATTCTTACCAATACCAGCATGGGGACGGAGTGCGTGAATGGTAATGAAACACAGCTCTCCTGCCTAGCAGCAAAGAGCACCACAACCAAGACTTAATATTTTTCAAAACACTATTTGCTTCTTTCTACTCAGAACTTTCAGCTCCATTCTAGTTAGTGCTCTGTCTCATTATTACTATCAAAAGCCCACAGTGTGGATGGGTAAACAAAACCAAACAAAAAAACCCCCAAAACAAAAAACAAAGAAACACGTGATATTAAGCCCTGTAAAAAACAAACACTTTTGGTTTTAGAAATACCTCAAACATACTGTAATCAAGACTTTAGACCAGAGGTGGGCAAACTACGGCCCACGGGACCATCCTGCCCAGGCCCTGAGCTCCTGGCCCGGGAGGCTACCCCGGCCCCTACCCCAGCATCAGCTCGCTTGCTCCATCGCGGGTGCAATGCTCTGGGTGGCGGGGCTGTGAGCTCCTGGGGCAGCGCAGCTGCAGAGCCCAGCCTGACCCAGTGCTCTGTGCTGAATGGTGGCGGCGGCGGCATGGCCTGGCTCTAGCCAGGCGGC